ACCACCACCACCACGTCCGTGCGCGCTCTCGGGCACTGTGAATGACCACGCTGCGTGCTCTCTCCTGACAGAGTAGCGCCGCCTACGTCCTGTTTTACCAACTGCAGGAGAAGGTGCAGCAGAGGGCCCCTGGGGGCGTGAGCCGCTCCCCGAGTGGGACCAGCCGCGACGCAGACCTCTCACCTCCAGGGGCTGCCGCTGTCGGGGATTCGATGGAGCTAGACTGAACTGAACCGGGCAGCGCCTCTCGACAGGACTGGAACCTCCTCCCTCCGCCATCATCCCCCTTCCTCCCCCCCCGCTGTTGCCCTGCGGATTCGAGGAGGGATTGGGAGGGGGTATAACCTATACACACCCCCTTCCCACATCTCATCCTAACCTCCTGCCAGACTTGGGATCTGACTGTGCACTGCAAATCGGAAAGACGCTGATTTACCCCACCCCCACCCCTCAGAATGACTCTGCTGCCAATCCCCCTCTCCCCCCGCAACCAATTTTTAAGCCTATTTTAAGCTCTCTTCTGTCACTCCCTCCCCCCCCCACGACAAGGTTGAGGTAGCGGGTACGTGGCGGAGGATGCGGGGAGGGTGCGGAGTTGGCTCTCTCCGTGCCGTCTCCCCTACCCCAAAATCTATGCACTTTTAGATCCGGGATTGCTGGCGAGATCGTTGTTGGGGGGAGAGGAGGGGGAAGGGATGAGTCAGCCCCGTCCTGCCTTGGCGGCCTACCAAGCAGCGGGATCTTCCTGTGCTGCCAATTTCCATCCTGAAACTGATCGATTTAATCTCAGGGATTCGCTGATCAATGCAGTTACTGAAGCGGGTGACCATTGCGTGGCTTCGATTACTGTTCTGCTCACCCCGTTGACCTCGACGAGTGGGGGGGTGGGGTTAATTAGAGCTAATTCACACGCTCTTTTCCTCCCACCTCATCCCCTACCACCCTCCCTCCATTCCACCAGAGTCTCTCACACGTCCCTGATGTATGTGTGTGTGTTTCTTTTTAAGACAAAGAAAGTGGCCTTATTGCTGGTTCAGTGTAACAGAACGAGGGTAGCCTCTGTCTCCCACTGTGAACTCTTTCACTCCCCCCCCCCCCCCCCCCCCGCCAACCGCAGAGGGTCAGGACGACTCAGATTTATTGGGAACGGGTAAGGAATCCATCTCTTCCCACCCTTTCACAGGATGTGGTACCAAATCACTGAATGGTTAAAAAAAAGTGTGGGTGAGGGAAATGAGATATTTGCTGGTGAAACTCAGCAGCTTTGTCTGGGGTGGGGTGGGGGGTGTTCCAGTGAGTCACGTTCAGACCTGGACTGACAATGTTGACTGCTCTCTCTCTCTCTCTCTCTCTCCCTTCTCCAATGCTCCAAGAGCAGCTGGGTTTTCCAGATTAATAGTGGGGAATCTCTGCTCAGGGTGGCTGGGTACGTGGACCATTCTCCATTTTGCACGTGCTCTCTCTCGCTCTCTCTTCCCCACCCGCCATCTGCGCATCCGCCCGCTGTCTCTCTCCCCTCCCCCATCTGCGCACCCGCCTACTCTGTCTCCCCCCTCCATCTGCACATCCGCCCGCTGTCTCTCTCCCCTGCCCCATCTGCGCACCCACCTACTCTCTTTCCACCCGCTGTCTCTCCC